TTTATGTGTGTGTGTGTGTGTGTGTGTGTGTGTGTGTTTGTGTGTGCGTGCGTGTATGTGTGTTTGTGTGTGTGTATGTGAGTGAAAAGTTTAGATGTTACTGCACTGAACAAGATCTAATGCGCACGACTAACCAATTCAGGTCTCTTTTTCTCTTTCTGAAAAACAGGCCCAGCCTGAAACGCGTAGACAGATTATTTAATCAGAATGCAGCCAACTAGAATGTAGAGAAGAACGAGGCACACAGTCACACGGTTAACGTTCAACACGCTCATGTAAACTTGTCTACTTGGCTGTGGCAACCTACGGACTTCTACATTATGTCACGACGCGGCGGAATCAGGCGCTCGTAAAATTTTTGGCACGTATTGAGTTCTTGGTATCATCTTGAATCATATTCATGTGTCTAACTTTCAATGAAAAATGAAACTCATATATTCGAATAGAAGTCCAGATATTTACGAGGTAGCCTGGTTTCAGAGGTAGAATGACGACAAAACTGCCTCCAAAGTTTGGTGACTTCGAAAGCTTGAGAGTCCATGGAAACTGCAAATTTACGTTTTTCATGCCTTTGATCAACCTGTGTCAGTAAAGTCAACACGGGATGTATTTTTTAATGGACGTAAATGGTGTAGAGCCAAGAAAAGAACATTCGAAAAAAAAAGCCCAGCGTCTAGGAAAATGCTGGTTTTTGTTTGTTTGTTTGTTTGTTTTTTATTTTTTCTTAGGAGTGGGGTTGGGTTTGGGTTGGGTTTTTTTCATTATTTTGACGAACATCTCATTTCACCAAGATGCCTCACAATTATTAGTCTGCACGCTTTGTTACATATTGAGGAACGCGTGAGTAAGCTTTCAGGCCAGACATGTTGATGAATCCTACGCCTGTCATCGAGGTCTTGTGGCCTACCGTAGCCTCGGCCTTCTGTTAGACCGGTGGGCCAAAGGATACAGTGAAGGGGGATAAATCAAAGCTAAAAGTAATCAGGAGGAAAAAATGGGGGAAACAGAAACTTCCCAATACAGAAACTACTTTTGCTTACTGGCCAGACATTGTGAATAATGGATTGTGAAGGCAGCACCTGCTAGGGAAGTCCACAAGATACGATCTATTTTGAACATTTCCCTCACCCCCTCAACGCCTGCCTTCTTAATTTTTCTTTTTTCTTTTTTTTTTTTTTAAATTGTTAACTGAAAACAGATAGTATTAGTAATGTTGTCCGCCAATGTGTTTCGTGCCTAAATAATTTATTTTGATTTTATGTTGAGTTTATCCCCTTTTCATAATTATATTATAGATTTTCTCTAATTATATTTATTTTCAGGAAAACGTACCCTCTAGGGGCAGTTCGCGGGGCTAAAAAGTGGGCGTGCGCAATTTAGCGATACCTGGTTGAAGATTGTCAAGGGCATGGTAAATGAATTGTCGGTTTGATTTCTAGAACTAAATATGTTTGTTAGT